TAAAAGTTTGTTTCTGTGTTTTTGCAATAATAAAACCCTATATTTTCACTACGTGTGACTAAGTTTACTAAATTACTAACTGAAATTACAGTATGTTGGCATCACAAGAGCTGGGCTGCAGTATCTGCAAAGTCACAATGAGCTTTGATGCTTTTCTGAACCAGGGGTAAAATAGTGCATATATCACAGGGTTTAGACATGAGTTAAAATAAAAGAGAAAAAGCAATAATGATGCATATGATGTACTGGGTAAATCAACTTGAAAACAGAGTACCAGTAATATGGACAGAAAGATATAAGGTATACAGTAATAAGAACACTAAGAGTCCTGACTGCTTTCAATTCAGATTTTTTAGCTTCTAAGTTCACTGAAACCCGAGATCTGATTAATGCAATTTGAGAACGCATCGTACGGGCCTGAGACACAGCTACCACAATTACTTTTATAAACAAAACACAAATTACAACTGGAAAAATACAGTTTAAAATAAGATCAACAGTTCCTGTAATTTCATCAAAGGAAAGTGTGCATTCTCCAACGCAAGAATTCATCCTGCCTGGTTGAATCAGGAGATCTTTTAAATAGAAAATGCTGTAAGAAGCAGACCACAGCCAACATAGACAAACACTGCATTTTACTCTTGCCACAGTGATTTTGGTGGAATAATGCAAAGGGTCACAAATAGCCACACAGCGGTCAATTGATATAAGAACAATATTTCCAGTTGAAGCAGAGAGAAAAAGACAAACTACATAATAATACAAGAAACACAAAGCATCTCCAACTATCCAGCAAGATGTAGTTCTAAAAATTTCAACTGGTAACATCAGAAATCCAGTTAGGAAATCTATGACTGCCAGTGAGAGGAGGAGGATGTTAGATGGTGTCTGGAGCTGCCTGAAAAAAAAAAACACAGAAATGTTTCTTCACTAAAATGAGAGCAGTGAAAAAATAGTCATGTAAAAGTTTTCACATTTATACAATTGAAATCACAAACAGATCTTAATTTCTGCCTGAAATGTGAGACTGAGATGATGACGAGGAGGTTGAGGACAACAGTAATCATAGAGATAAAGGACATCATGATGTTCAGGAGCACAACTTCAGGCCAGTGAAGTGTAGTCTTCATGCAGGAACTGTTAATGAGCTGTGGAAAACAAAGTTCTCCCTCCTGTATTGCCATCATCAGAAAGCTACAGCTGACTGACTGTATCTCTTTGTAATACAACCAATTTATCTGTGTCTTCTATTCCCCTAATTATTTTCTGTTAGTCTCTGCTGAACATTGATTTTGCTCCTCTTTTGGGTTTTAATTTTTTTTTACTGTTTGTTAAATATCCCTTGTCTTTATTGTGATTTGTTTACACTTGCCTTCTGTTTCTCTCCAAACTTGGAGCTGGGGGATTTAAAAGTGCATTGGGATTCAAGATGGCTGCAGGACGAGAAGCCACGTTCTGCTAGGCTCCCGTTAACTTGTATAAAAAAATGCCTTTTATAATAATTTTAAAAAGTTAAATCTGGTCCTCTGGACATTCAAAAAAACAAAACATAGCAAAACAACAAAAAAAAAAAAAACGTAGAAATGTTTCATCTTTCATTCGAGAGACTTCTTCAGTCTGAGGTGCTGTATTCAGCTCAGACTCTTAAATAGCACCTTCTCAGAGTGGATCAACCAGTTTTGCTGCTGACAACCAGAACCAGCTGCTCACATGCTCAAGAAGGACCATCAGCCTAACAATGGATCATTAGCACACTGATGGCTGTTTACTGTTCACAGGGGGTTGAGTGATACTAGCAATCACAGCATTGTAAGAGGGGGACAGTTGAACCCGGAGGCCTCCACCCCTGTTCAATGATGGACGATTTCTTTTCACAAAGATGGCCTCCTTTACTCCTCTCTCAAACCATCGTTCCTCTCTGTCCAGGATGTGAACATCTTCATCCCTGAAAGAGTGACCGCTGGCCTGGAGATGAGTGTAGACCGCAGAGTCCTGGCCTGATGGTGTTGATCTTCTGTGCTGGGCCATCCTTTTGGCCAGTGGCTGTTTAGTTTCCCTGATGTAATACTGATCACCCTCCTGACACTGAACAACATACACAATATTATTCTGTTTGTGCCGGGGGACTGGATCTTTGGGATGAACCAGTCTTTAATGTATTTTGTGGTTTAAAAGCCACTGGGACATTGTGTTTAGAAAATAAACGTCTCAGTTTCTCTGATACTGTTGGGATCCTGCCCTGCACTCCTCTCTCTCCTCAAGCTCCCTAATTGCCAGCAGCTGCAGCTGATCAGCACCACACCCGAGGAGGAGTATAAGAAGACTCAGAAGCCACTCTACAGGCGCTGGGACATTGCCTGCCAACGGTAGCAAATGTTCTAGCCAGTAAACTGTGTTCTCTAGTAAACGACTGAAGTTTTGTCTCTCTCTGCGTTCTCAGAGACTTCCTGTTTTCACGTTGTCATCGGACCTGCCTGAGTCTCCTGAGTTCCTCCTCGATCCCTCCTGTCACCCTGCAGCTGCTTTTGCCTTCCACCACTTGCCGCTTCAACCTGAATTCATATTTGGATCCCTCTTGTTCAACCTCACGTCACGTAAGGAAGATTCTTCACAAATCGCTCCAGTCCCTCCTGCACCCCCTTAACCTCTTCCTCTGCTCCTCAGGTGATCCTGTATATATATATATATTGTATATATCTTCCCGGCACCTGTATATAGACGTCCTCACCTTGAATATCACATTGTAAATAAACACTGTTCTTTTGATACTTTGAGTCCTGGTCTCTATTCAGTTTTCTGGTCTTTCATCCTGGGTACGATCTCGATCCTAACAGATACTCCCTCAACATTCATTCATTCAACCTTTATTTAAGCAGATAAATCACACTGAGCCTCGAAGTCTCATTTACATGTGAGACCTGTTTGGACAGACAAAAACAGTGGTTAGAAAAGGAAAGAAAACATGAGGAGAGACGGTATAAAAAAAAAAGATCTCTCACACCGTGTCCTAGACAGGGCACGATTTGAGGCATCAAAAAAACCTACCACAGCAAAGCAACATAAACAGACGTTATACATGAGCATATATAGGCCGATGAAAACATTGAATTTTTAAGGGAAAGTCATAGCATAGTCCAGAGGCCTCCCCTCTCAGCCATTGTCCAGATAAGAGGTGACGTTCATCTTCAGCTCAGTTGAGGTTCTGTCACATGTCCACGGCCTTGGGGACGGGAGGGGTGAGGAAACAGTCACAAACAGGCTCCTCTCTTGTGGAACCAACTTCCAGTTTCTGTCCATGAGGCTGACACCTTGTCTACTTGTAAGATTACGCTCAAGTCTTTCCTTTTTGATGAATCCTATAGTTAGGGTTGGCTTTGGTTTCCTGAGCTATCCCTTAGTTATGCTGCTATAGGCTTAGACTGCTGGAGGACAAAGTGACCACGTCTTCACATTGCTGCTGTCTTTACTTACTCGATGCAGTGCAGCATTCCCAAGGAGGGAAAGCACTGCGAGGGAAGAAGATAGTACCTTTCTGAAAGGTGATGCTGCCAAGTGATGCTTAGCATTTCATTACTTTACTTGAATTAGTTTAGCTTTGTTTAGCTTAGCATTGTTTCATGTAAGTCACCATTCTTCTGTACGCTTTTTTGTACCGGATCTCAATTTGGTGGAAAGTAATTGGTCCGCAATGGTTTCTAAGGTTTGCAAAAATGCAAATGCACTAAAGTAAATGTTATTTCCACTTTACCTGTTAGCTGATTAGTGGAACCATGTCCATCACCGCTTTTAGTGAAAATATTTCTAAAATATTTATAAAATAGAAAGTATGGGCTAGACAAGGGTTGGGGCCATCTTTAAGTGTTGAACTTTGTTTGCAAAATCCATGAAGTTCTCTATGTGACATGGTGTCTTTCCAACAAGAGAAACCTAAGTACAAGCAAGATTTTTTTACATATTGTATACTAATTGCTGGTTTCTGCTGCTGACGATGGGTCTGAGTAATATTTCTTCTTCAAGTATTTTGGTGTTTATTTAAACATGGGGTGGCTTCTCCTTGATATAATCTGTGGTCCACACATTAAATTGATTGCTTTGTCTTCCATGAGTTTTTGTACAAAACCTGTCACCTTCTTTTGGTGTGTGCTAATTTTGTCCCGATTCATGGTCTTATACTGTATGTGGTGCTATCCCGCAGTAATGTGGATTTTGTTTTTAAACTCAGTAGTGCTGATGATCACTGTTCATCTTCCATTATCCACTGACAAAATTGTGTTTTTTTTTTGTCCTAAGTTAAATTTGTTATAGCTTTTTTCCTTTTGGTGTAACATTTGATGGAGTTGGATTGGCGATGAAGAGGGTTAATGTTACATTTTTTCTGAGATAGTCTACCTCAGCTTCTATCATGTTACTGTTCATTAAAGCAGACTTGGTGGCAGGGATCAGTTCCACAAGACATATTTCTTGTGAAAAAAATGCAAAATCCATAATTCAGTCCTTTAGCCAAAATATCCTTCTCTGGTTGTGTCACCATCCAGTTTTTTTTTTTTTGTTTGTTTGTTTTTGAACAGCGCCTGGGTAAAAATAATAATAATAATAATAATAATCACTGAATACAAAAAAACATATTTATTTATTTATTTACCTGAAAAACTAAAATTACATTTACAATACATTTGTTTTCATTATGAGATTTGTATAGTGTTTGATTGATGTCTTAAGAGATTATTTGCAAATTAAAGCAGTAAACTATTCAATTATTTGACCTAACTTTGTTACAAACACAAATGTAATTTTTACAGTGCTTTGTGTCAATTTCATGTTAGTGTCAAAAATTTAAAGTAGGTAAACAAATTGCATTGACTATATGAAAACTTGATTTAAACTAGTTTATTTAACAAAATATGTTTTCAACTGAAATTATATATATATATGTAAGTATTTGAAATATGTAAAGCTTATAAAATTAGATACAATTAAATATTTGTTGAAAATATTTCATTTCAGTTTGTCCGCTGTATCTCTACAAAATGTTGGCCTGCAGGGTGCAGTATCTGTAAGGTGGCAATGAGTTTAACAGCTTTTCTGAACCAGGGGTAAAACAGAGCATAGATCACAGGGTTAAGACAAGAGTTGAAGTAAAAAAGAAAGAATAAAAAGGATGCATACGATGTACTGGGTAAATCGCCACTGATGACAGAATAACTGTAATATGGACACCAACATATTAGAAATACAATGACAAGAACACCAAGCGTCCTGGCTGCTTTCAACTCAGACTTTTTAGGTTTTAGGTTCACTGAATGCTGAAGTGTGACAGCTGTAACAGAAGCGTTCATGGCACGAGCCTGAGCCACAGCCACCATAAATACTCTCATATAAAGAACAATGATAATTGCAACTGGAAATAAGAAGCTTATAAACAGATCAACAGTTCCTGTAGTAAAGGTAATTGAAAGTTCACATTCACCAATGCAGGAATTACTTTTGCCTGATTGAATAAACTCATTTCTCAAAAATAAAATTATGTAGACAACAGACAGTAGCCAACACAGACAAACACAAAATTTTACTCTTGCCACAGTGATTCTGATGGGATAATGCAGAGGTTTACAAATTGCCACATACCGGTCAATTGAAATAAGAACAACATTTCCAATTGAAGCACTGAGAACAACACAGGCAATATAAGAACAAAAGGTACATAAACTATCTCCTAATAACCAACATGCTGTGCTTCTAAAAATTTCAAGTGGTATTAACAAGAAGCCAACAAGAAAATCTGAGACAGCCAGAGATAGGAGGAGGATGTTAGTGGGTTTCTGAAGCTGCCTAAAATAGAAAAAGAAAAAAAACAAAAACGTTCGTTAGTAAAATTCTATAAAAATCATGAAGGAAATAAATGTAATAATTAGACTAGATAAAAATATAACACTTTCAATATTTAGACTGTAAATAAAAGTATTCTCTGCCTGAAATGTGAGACTGAAATGATGACGAGCAGGTTGAGAATAACAGTGATCAGAGAGATGAAGGAAAGCGCAGTGTTCAGGAGCACAGCTTCAGACCAGTGAAGCATCGGCTTCCTACATGAGCTGTTGAGAAGTTGTGGAAAACAGAGCTCTGCTCCCTCCATCATCAGACAGACAACTCTCTGTAGTACAGCCTATTTATTGTATCCTTCCATCCCTGCAGAACACTACTGTTGCTCCTCCTGTGAGTCCCACAACATTCTTCTTGTGAATCTTGTCTCGTGGTTTTTTCGGGGTTTTTTTCACCTGACTGTCAACATCTGTAGTGTTAATTAGATAATATCAGACTAGAGATATCACTACTATTTAATTTATAAAGCCCTTTAAAACAACCACAGCTACAACAAAGTGTTGTGCATATAAAATCAAGAACATATAAAGACATAAAATAATAAACAAAATTAAAATTGTAAGATCAATAAAAACAAAACTGTAATGCAGAGCAAATGCATAGCTCCAAAGTGACTGGTCTGAATGACTATCGCCCAGTAGCCCTCACCCCGATAGTCGCTAAATGCTTCGAAAGACTGGTCACGACCCACATCAAAACAACCATCAACATCAACGAGGATCCTCACCAGTACGCATACTGTAAGAATTGATCAACAGAAGATGCCATCTCCTCTGTGGTCCACACTGCTCTCACCTACCTGGAACAGAAGGACTCCTATGTCCGTATGATCTTTGTGGACTTCATGTCTGCCTTCAACACCATGATCCCCCAAACCCTGATGGACAAACTACGCACACTAGGACTAAGCCATTTGCAAGTGGGTCCTGGACTTCTTAACAAACAGACCGCAGTCTGTGAGGATCCACAACTTCTCCTCCTCCACCATAATCCTCAGCACTGGCTCTCCTCAGGGCTGTGTGCTGAGCCCTCTCCTATTCATTCTGCTCCCGTATGATTGTGCACCTACCCATCCAGGCTGTCATATTGTAATATTTGCAGATGAAACAGTGGTGGTGGGATGCGTCACAAACAAAGATGAGTCCAGCTACAGACAAGATGTGGGACACCTGGAGAGCTGGTGCAGAAAAAGCAACCTTCACATAAATGTGAAGAAGACAAAGAAAATGGTTGTGGACATCAGAAGGAACAAATCCCCCCCCCCCCCCCCCCGAACATAGGAGGATCGGTGGTGGAAGAGGTCAGAGGTCACCAGTTACAAGTACTTGAGTGTGCACCTGAATGACAACCTCAGCTACGTCAACAACACTACCAGCCTGATCAAGAAAGCTTATCAGAGGCTATCTAAAAAAGTTAAATCTGGTCCTGTGGACATTCAAAAAACAAAACAAAGCAAACAACAACAAAAATGTAGAAACGTTTTGTCTTTCAACCAAAACACTTCCTCAGTCTGAGGTGCTGTTTTCAGCTCAGTCTCTTAAATAGCACCTTCTCAGAGTGGATCAACCAGTTTTGCTGCTGACAACCAAAAACAGCTGATCACATGCTCAAGAAGGACCATCAGCCTAACAATGGGTCATTAGCACACTGATGGCTGTGTACTATTCACAGGAGGCTGAGTGATACTAGCAATCACAGCATTGTAAGAGGGGGACAGTTGAACCCGGAGGCCTCCACCCCTGTTTAATGATGGACGGTTTCTTTTCACAAAGATGGCCTCCTTTACTCCTCTCTCAAACCATCGTTCCTCTATCCAAGATGCGAACATCTTCATCCCTGAACGAGTGACCACTGGCCTGGAGATGAGTGTAGACCACATCCATAGTTCTTCCTTTTCACCTGATGGCTGACTGGAGTCCTGTTTGGGTTTCTTCTCTGCTTTCAGGAAGGCCCAGTTAAGATATCCACATTGCTCTAGAGCCTGTCTTGTGTGGGATTTCTCCTTCTGCCTGGCTCCTGAGTTAGTGGGGGCGCTGTCTGCTCTGTGGTACAGAGTCCTGATGACTCCTAACTTGTGCTCCAAAGGGTGATGGGAGTCAAACTGCAAATACTGGTCTGTGTGGGTGGGCTTGTGGTACACCTCAGTTTGCAAATTTCATTTTCATTTTCAAATTTATGACACTCCTTAGTGACTTAACCACTTATGAACCTCTGAAAAGAGATCCAGGAAGTGGTTACAAGAAGAAGTTCAGAGTCAGAGAGTCAGAGATTGTTTATTGTCATTTGCACCTCATGTGGTACATGGGGTGGAGTGAAATTATGTACACAGGGTCCCAGTTACATCCAACAATAAAATGTATAAGAAAAACAGTAATAACATCTAAGACACATATGTCAGAGTCAAGGCCCGCGGGCCGGATGTGGCCCGCGAGAAGGTTTTTTACGGCCCCTAGGATGATCTTGATTTATTATTAGAACCGGCCCGCAGACCGCAGCAAGCCGGCAGCCCGCAGATCTTTTACACGCACCAATACTACATTTCCAACAATGCAACGGTGACGCACCGAGCAGTAGGCTGCTTCATTTCAGTGTTTATTAGCACAGCAGTCGTCAGCATAACTGTAAAATTAACTTTCAGATACCCATCAAAAATGGCAAAAAGGAAGGTGGACACTGAGAACCGGGGGTTTCAAACAAGGTGGGAGTCGGAGTATATGTTCACGGAGGTAGCTGGAAAACCTGTGTGTCTTCTGTGTGGAGAAAGTGTGGCGGTACTGAAAGAGTATAATCTGAGATGACATTATGAAACGAAACACGCGGACAAAAACAAGAATATGGACATGGAACAAAGGCTACAGAAGGCCGAGGAATTAAAACGAGGCCTCAAATCTCGACAGGCTCTGTTCAAAAAAGCCAAATCACAAGGCCAGGCTGCTGTCAAGGCCAGTTTTATTTTGGCAGAAGAGATCGCTAAATCAACCCGGCCATTTACGGAGGGGGATTTCATCAAAAACTGTATGGTTAAAGTTTGTGATGAAGTTTGCCCAGAAAAAAGGCAACTCTTTTTAAATGTGAGTCTGAGCAGAAACACCATTGCCGAGTGAGTAGACCAGTTGTCCATCAATCTAAAAGAGCAGCTTGTGAAAAAGGGAAAAGATTTCATCGCATATTCCTTGGCTGTGGATGAGAGCACCGACATTTCTGACATTGCCCAGTTGTCAATTTTCATCTGCGGAGTGGACTCCAGCCTAAGCGTGACAGAGGAGTTTTTGGTTTTACGTCCTATGCATGGCACAACTACGGGGCATGATTTGTATGAAGAGGTGTCAAGATGTGTAAATGAGATGGAGCTGCCTTGGGAAAAACTCGTGGGTTTGACAACCGACGGAGCACCTGCGATGTGTGGACACAGGAGCGGACTGGTGGCGAAGATACAGGAAAATATGCAAGAGGAAAACCCGACAGGTGAGCTGGCAGCTTATCATTGTATCATACACCAGGAAGCGTTGTGCGGTAAAGCCTTGAAAATGGAACATGTAATGAGCATCATCACACACGCAGTTAACTTTATCAGAGCCAAAGGTTTAAATCACCGCCAGTTCAAGGCATTTCTGACGGAGTTAGAAACGGAGCATGGTGATTTGCCTTATCACACAGAGGTGCGATGGCTAAGCCAGGGAAAGGTGCTCCAAAGATGTTTCGAGCTTCGTGAGGAGATTTGTCTGTTCTTGGACAGCAAAGGGAAAGACACAACACAACTCCGAGACGAGATGTTTCTGTGTGAAATGGCTTTTCTGTGTGACATTACGAGTCATCTGAATGCAATGAACTTGCAGCTGCAGGGTCGGGATCGTGTCATCTCTGATATGTACAGTACAGTGAAGGCATTTAAAACCAAACTGACTCTGTGGGAGACGCAGATGCGGAAAGAAAATTTGAGCCACTTTCCCAGCTGCCAGACCATGAAAGAGAAGCTCTCTACCAGTGCGTTCCCGAGCGCACAGTTTGCTGATAAAATAGGTATGCTTTCCGCTGACTTTCAACGCCGATTTGCTGACTTTGAAGCACAAAAAGACAGGTTTGAACTGCTCGGTAATCCATTTGCTGTTGACGTGGAAAGCTCACCACCAAACCTCCAAATGGAGTTGATTGACCTCCAATGCAATGATGCACTGAGGGCAAAATATGCGGCAGTGGGTGCTGCAGAGTTTGCCCGTTTCCTCCCCGACACAATGCCCCAGCTGCGCATCCAGGCTGCTCAAACGTTGTCTATGTTTGGCAGCACATACCTGTGTGAACAACTGTTTTCTTTGATGAACCTGAACAAAACATCACACAGAAGTCGACTTACTGCTGAACACCTTCACTCAATTCTGAGGATTTCCTCAGCTCAGAGCCTTACCCCGAACATTGATGAACTTGTGGAAAAGATGGGACACCACCAAGTATCACCCTCAACCTCAAACAAGTGAACATTACTGTGCAATCACATATTTAGAGTTTTTACTCAGTTCAAGTTTAAAAGTTAAAGTTTAATATTTGTTTTCACTGCATGTTACTTCTCCTTGAGGAAAGTGTTGTTTTTGATTAATAGATTTTTGCACTTTATTTTATTGTATTTCAATCCAATTATATTTTTAAAATATTTCAGTTGAGTGGATGATAGAAAATTGCTATTATTTTTTTCTTTGAAGTAAATTTAGCCCACTTTTGCTAAAATATAAAATATAGGCTACTGATGGTGCCTTGAATAATACAGGTTTCTTTCATTTAATGTTCATGTTATGGGGATTTTTATATAAAGGAAATTTGTCTTTTGTGTCTGTTGAAAATTAAAGATTACTGACAGAGCCATAAGAAAATATTGCTTTATTTATCTGATCATATTGGAATATATTTGTTAGGTTTTCAGTAGGTTCAATTAGGTTCACTAGACTATATGCGTCATTTAAAAAAATTTCAATGAACATTCGATCAGTCCGGCCCTCGGCTTGTAGCTAAATTTTTTATTTGGCCCTCCGTCCATTTGACTTTGACACCCCTGATAAGATATGAACTAAGAAAAACATCAACTAAATATACACTGAGCACTCATAACATAAAAACATTGAACATCAGCACAAACATGAACATGAGTCTGTGAGCAGATGAACACGCATGAACACATCAACATTGAAACAGATCAGCAGCAACATGAAACAGATCAGCAGCAACATGATATGGTTTTTCACTGTGATTATTCTGGTTAGAGAT